ATCGGCTCGGGGAAATCCGCCGGCGGAATTGGGTGAGCACCCTTCTCCTGACGGAATCGGCTCGGATCGAAAATTAAAAAGGCTGCCGCACGGTTGGCGGGGCCACGACGCCAAGGCGGAGAGTTTTGCTCTCTCGGTCGTGATTTATCGACACGGGAATCGGCAGCTCTAATGAAAACCTTTTGTTGGAAAATGCGGAAGGGGAGGGCGAAAAAGGAAAAACGGGAAATTGAAATCCGCGGCAGGAGCGCGAAGCGTCAGAGTAACCGATTTTATGGGGAAACGTTGAATTTAATGTAAAAAACCTGGCAAAGAATGCCGAGGCATGCCGTAAACGATTCTTGAAGGAAAGTGCCCTATTTTGTCGATCTCCTTACCTAAATCGCCGAACAATGATTCGACTTGGTTTGGAACGAACTCGTACCGATGAACGTTCCCTTAGAAACGATGACGTTCAATAAATTAAGAACTTTGAAATTAATGTACAAGAAGCTATATGCCCTTAAGTAATCGGATCGTGCCCGCAAATTGTCACAGCGAAGAACGCGTAGGCTCGACGTAGACGATTCCTCGTCAAAAGTGCTCCAGTTTGCCGATCGCTTCCCCGAAATTGCCGAAGAAAGGTCCAGCTAGGCCCATCACGTGTTTCTCATATCAAGGGAACGTTCAATTAATTAAGAACGGTGAATTCGATGAACAAGAAGTTGTACGCCTAAAGTAATCGGATCGTGCTCCAAAATTGTCATAGCGAAGAACGCGTAGGCCCGACGTAGACGATTCCTCGTCAAAAGTGCTCCAATTTGCCGATCGCTTCCCCGAAATTGCCAAAAAAAAGGTACGGCACGGCCCGGCATGTGTATCTCGTATCGAAGAACGTTCCCTTAGAAACGATGACGTTCAATTAATTAAGAACTTTGAAATTAATGTACATGAAACTATATGCCCTTAAGTAATCGGATCGTGCTTGCATATTGTCACGGCGAGGAACACGTAGGTACGACGTAGACGATTCCTCGTCAAAAGTGCTCCAGTTTGCCGATCGCTTCCCCGAAATTGCCGAAGAAAGGTCCGGCTCGGCTCGGCACGTATTTCTCCTGAGGAGGGTCCCCGTAAGCGGTCCCGTCGGCCCACCGGCCCGATTTCAGTCGGATAAGCGCGCGTGCTCCGATTTCGTTCCTCCGTCATTTTCCCGGCCGGCCCGGCCCGATCCCGGCGGATCCGGCCGGGTAAGCGCGCTCTACCTTAAGAGGATTAAACGCTCCCAACGAGATCCCACTCGCGTCCCGGCCGACCGACTTTCGTCCGATTCCCGAACTCCGCGACGCCGCTCAAAGCCCCTAGGACGTACAGCGAGGGTCGCGAATGCCTTCCCTGCGGATGCGGCGCAGGACGTCCACAAGGGCACGAGCGGTGGAACGAATCCCCACGTGAAATTTAAAGGGATGTGAAATTGGCATCCGAGGGGTCGATCGTTCACGAAACTTTTCGCCGAACAGGGTGTACCGAATCGTTTGAAACTCTACAACACGAATATGGAGTCTATAAGGAAGGTCCTGACCATGAATGACCATGAAACTTAATTTCTTATACAAAATTTAAAAAGTACGTATTAACAAATAGTTAAAAAAAAAATGGTAATTTCATGAGTTTCAGGACCTTCCTTCCGGTCTCCGTATTCACGTTGGGAAGTTTGAAATGACTCGGTAGAGCCTATTCGGGGAAAAGTTTGACAAACGAAACGTCTTCGACGCCCGAGCACGTCGCGGAGAATCCGGGGTCTCGGAGGTGACGGACTGGCACGGGTGGAGGCGCGGCGACGCGTGCGGTCCTCCTCGAGGTTTTTTCAGGCCGTGCCGCGTCTCGCTCGGGACACCCCGTAGAGGTGCGGTTACGCGGGGGTTCGGTTCTACGCGACCTCGTATCCACCGCACGCTCGTATACCCTGATACGCGTTGCGTGACGCGGACGGCCGGTAGGCGACAGGGTGCCGAACACACGCCTCGCGCATTCAGCCGTGAAACGCCCTCTATATAGAAGCACAGCCCCGTGCCCACGCGTCCGCGTGTACGTGCACGCGCGATCCGCTTCCCGGGCGGGCACTGCGCGAGGACGCCCGTGGAGACGCCGCCGCGACGCCCCGCGACCGGGTTATCGTCGGGCCTCTCGACGCCGACGTCAAAGGGCAGCTTCGGCCCCGTAGAGGCCCTCCACCGAGTCCTTATCTCGCTCCGGAGAGCGTTACTCGTCCTCCGGTCCGGGGGACGCGTCGATGGCTCTCCCGGCGACGCCCCCACCCGTGGATATGTTTATTCTAGATGTCGAGCCGATACCCTGCGAATTCACCCGGCTCGACCGGATGCGCCCTCGACCTCTCCGTCCTCGAGGTACTCCGGGTGAAGGATCGTCCCGAAGGTTTAATGATTTAAGGTGAAGTGAAACAAGTCGAGGAACTTGATCAACGTTGACAAAGAAGATTTTTCTAAATGCCTACGTTGCCGACGTCCGTTTTTATATTGACAGCTGGGTCGAATTATATTGTGTATAGTACCAAATAGAATATTCCACCTGTCGTGTCCGTACAATAATTATAAAGAAATCGAAGTAAAACTCCAGAAATCCTCTGGATTCATGCCTTCTGGGGCCCTAACTGACTGCGGAGGGACCCTCTGCGCCATCTATGATTTCCAGGTCAATTAAATTTTCACTCCGAGACCTCGTATTACCATCGTTTTGGCAAAGAAGCGCATACAACACTTTTTTTGCCTTTATCCCGGTCAAATGCGAGTTTATCGATTACCAGAGTGTTCTAAATTGTCGTAAAATTGTCCTGACCCTTCCGATTCTCATATTAGAGCCTTCGATAATTGTATATCCATTGAAATATGAGGGCTCGACGCCATTTTGGTTCTGGTCTGGGCTGAGTTAAAAAATTTTGTTAAAAAATCCAAATTTTGAATGTGTCAGGACAATTCTTAGATGATCAGGAGTGATGTGTCAAAGTTTCGGACAGTTTGGTCTAATATCCTTAAAAAAAAGTGTTGTATTCGAATAGACTGATTTGAAGGATGTTTCACTTCACCTTAAGCCGAACCACTCGCGCGTTTCCGCGCGTATTAAATATGCTCGAGCGGGGTGGGGCGCTCTCATCCTTGGGATGTGTGAATGTTTTAAGCACGCGGGGAGAGTGGCCGCGCGGAGAGATATTTGTTGAAAATTTTCCTGACTTTTCCGTTGGCCGAAGGCGCAACCCGAGAAGGGAATTTTTATACCCTGGCCGGGTTCGGATGGGTTTCTTTGTTCCACTGGCTCGAAATGGCGGGACGCGGTTTCAAAATCCTGGATTTAGGGTCTTCGACGATGCAGAGGGACATTTGTTAGACGGAGGAAAGGTAGTTTCTTCGGTGTCTAATCTATTTTCTCCGTTCCATTTAATTTTACGTTTGTTTTTCGGTTTGCCGCGGTCCGTTTACCTCGCGAATCGTGAATTCGCCGGCTTCGATATACGCCGGGGCGGGCGATGAAAAATGTCGCGCGAGGCCAACCTGAAAACGTAGTCGTCCGGACCGGAGCGCCGGCCTGACCGCAACCCCCGGCACCCTCTCCGCAGTCCCCGCGAGTTTAACTTCGCCCTTCAACAGGTGTTTAGGGAAATACAATAATGTCGCGCGTGCGCGGTGAACTTCTTAAAGTCGCGGACTTTGCCGGGGTGCGATTTGACCGCGGCCGGCCAATCCCCGCGGGACCCGGCCGCTGGATCCATTGACTTTCCTGGGGAACTTCCAAAATTGGACCCCTCCCTGGCGAAGCCCCCTCATCGTCGAAGCGTCCGGGGATTTCGCCGAGTTCCTGTTTTCGGTAAAAATCCCGGGACAGACGACCGATAGCCCGCGGCCACGTTTTCGGCGTCCGGAATTTTGATCGATTTCGCCGCGTCGCGCGCTTCCGGGAGACCCGATTCGCTGTCCCGCCGTCGAAAAAAAATGTATCGATTACCTATCAGGAAATTAAAGGCAATTGAAAAAGGTCGAGACGGTGTTTTTTTTTTATCCGGAATGGGAGCTCCGGGCGGAGTGCTCTTTTCCGGAAGCGAAACGCCATTTCCGCTCGACGCGGGGCGACGCCTTGCGGCCGAATGTCGATAACGCTCGCTGGATGCTTGCCGAATGGTAACTTGGGAAAAGAGGCTAGAGGGATCTACGTTACCAACGCGAGGGATAGCGCCGCGAGACGCGGCGGTGGGTAATGCAGAGACCTCTCGTGGCCTCGTCTTCCGACCGCTGCTAGAGTCGTATGGCGGATATGCATTACTCGTTCACTTCTAGATGGCAGGAGCGGCGCTGAACTCTGACCCGCCCAAGATCCCTCGACTTCGAAATCTATTCAAAAAAGGAATATTCTTCCGCGTGCAGTATTTGACGACAAATTGAATCCGCTAATATTTTATCCTACGGACTGATACCTTCTGTCGAAATGGTCATTTATGTAAGATCAGTTTTTCAATTAATTATCCTTCCATTGTGGTACACTGTTCAAAAGAAAAATAAATTCATGAAACCTCCTGGAAGTCGTATCGGGGCACTGTATACCGAATTTATAAAGGCTTCTTAGGTGTATTTCATTGATTTGCGTTTCTTAATTATATAATTAATTAAAGAAATGTCCAATAAGGCATAAGAAAATGTGAATGTTGTATATACATTTACAAATTCATAATAAATCACGATTTTAATTTGTATTTCGGTGCGATTTTGTGTACTTAAATTGTTCGATATTAAGAAACATTTCTAACAAAGTATCGAAATGGATTGCTTCTTAACATTTTCGGGTGAATTGTGAGACCTTAAATGCAAATTACTCCGATTCACATAACGGTCTTGTATTGAAAATTAATTCGAACGCAGATGACACGTGTTCGATATCTTTATTGTCCAGAAAAAAACCATTTCAGTGAGGAAAAAAGAATGGAAGAAATAAAGGGATCTTTTATCGTTTGCTTGCAGAGTCTAAATGGCGCGGAAGGCACGGTGCCGCCAGGCAGAGTGTACAAGAAGGTGGCCATCGTGGAAAACTTCTTCGACATCATCCATGCCGTCCACGTGGACCTGGAGGGGCGGCCTGGAAAACATGCCGGACAGAAGCGGACGTATAGAACGGTAAGTTTGGAACCGAGCAGCCTGGTTACCAGGAATCTTCCGATAATCTTCGACAAACCTTCCCTTGAACAAGCGCCCTTTTGTCCGAGACTCCCCCGACAATCCTGAACGGATCCTGGAAACTTTTCCGAGCACCTAACCGATCTCGTTTCAACAACGTCTCCGGCTAATAGCCATATTACAGAGGAAACACACCTGCCATAACACACGGGAATAAAAAACGGCTCCACTAATTCTTCGTCATTGCATTGCAAAAGAATGAGTTATCAAATTGAACGTCACTCGATGTATTCCAAGATTTACAAGTACTTTGCAATATAAACTTCGAGATAAAAGTTGTCGATAAACGTTCCAAGTTTCTTATCTCGTGATCGATCATCACTTTTCTTTATACGTTCTCTATGAAATTAAATAAAACTCACTTTTAAAAAAGAATATATACATGGGAGTTATACCGCAAAATGTGCAGGATAATATGCAACGGGGAATAACTGCAGAAATTGTCGGGGCAAAGCAGAATTATAGAAAAATATACGATATATGTACCGTGCAAGGAAAGACTAAAGAGTTTATTTTTACAATATTTTACTACATGAAACGGAATTAACGTTACACGATAATGAGTAACGATGACTTCACATTAGCAAAAGTTGGATTTAGGACCGTTAATTTGTACGGTAGAGAATTATAGAAAAATATACGATGTATGTCCCGTGAAAGCAAAGAGTAGCGAGTTCATTTCTATGATATTATACTACATAAAACGGAATTAACGTTACTCGATAAATAGTAACGATGACATCGCATTAGCAAAAGTTGGATTTAAGACCGTTCATTTCTACGGTAGAGATACAATACCGCGCCGTCGCCTATAACCCCACATTTAGTACGGTGCAGCGAAAGAGCGCAGGGTTTTCACGAAGTAGCACTCGACTCGGGGCAGCGCCGCGACGCCGTGCCCTCCTTTTCCCGGCGTCGTCTCGCATTGACCGAATTCTCCCGGGCAGTCGGTTATTTACAGATTCCCGGGGTGTTTCCCGAGGGAACGCATCGAGGCATTCAAGCGGCGAACACTCGATACCACACGTCATCTCACATGTTCCGGTGCACGTTCGCGCGAGCCTCTCTCGGTCCCCCTCTTCCTCTCCCTGTCTCTCCGCGGGCCGTCGCTTCCCTCCGTCTCTCTCTCCCTTTCTTCCTCTCTCCGCAGCCTCCGCGCCGGGCGGCGTTCGCTCCTCTCTCTCGCTCCGTCCCTCCCTCCGCTCCTCTCGGTCCGTCTCTCTCTTTCGCCCACTCGGCGCGATCTGCTTGCGATTCAAAACCTCAGGACACTTGTTGCATTGCCTGCTTACTCGCGCGCGCACCCACACGTGTAGGGGACACGCGTGCACGCGTACCCACACCGAGCCGCCGGTCGTTTTACCGTATCGCGTTAAGTCGACCTTACGCCGATGCGATTCCGAGCTCGCGGATACGCCGGGACGTTATCGGGATATCCGCCGATCCTGCGTGGGGGAACATCCTAGCCCTGGTACCCGCCGGGCTCCATTCGTCGACGTTTCGTTTGGTTTGTGGGGAATAAATTTCGGTAGTTCGTGCGAAAGGGCTTTACGTTCTCTTCGGGGTCTGTTGCGCGCCTGGGGAGCGACTACCCGGAATGCAACCTCTGCAACGTCGACTGCACCCCGTGGAAATTAATAGCTCGGTTTTGCATCGTCGGAAAGTATAACCCCACGGGAGTGCCCTTGGGAGCGGTAGAGAGTCCGTGGAAGGAAATAGTCGCAGGGCAAAGTTCTTCGCACGGTCGACAGGGTCCTATCCTAACGAGCAAAGTTGGTACGCAAAAAGTACCGCGCCACGTCATCGCTCCTCCATCGGGCGATCCCTTTGCAGCCTAATTCGATCTCGCCGGACATCCGGGACGTTCTCGGGATGTCCGGCCCTCCCAGGACGTGGCGTCGCATCTCCCTAAATCGATACGGCGACCTCGGGTCGATGCGTATCCGGATTCCGGGGCAAGTTCCGACCCCGAAGAAGCTGCGAGCCGCCCTCGATGCATCGGCCGGCGACTTTGCTCTCCGACCACGTCGAAGTGGTTACTCCCCGGAGCAGAGCCTCGAGTAAATCTCATCGAATTACCGCCACGGGTCCCCTCTCGCAAATGCACCCCGTTGCAAAGGCGGCCCGGTTTGCGTCCCGGAACGCGTCCGAAGCCTTTAGCTTTCTCGGATCCGGGGCTCTCTCATCTCTGATTAAGTTATGCCGCCTCTCCCGCATCTTACGGCGAAACGGTCCCCATTAGGACCTCCTCCTTCTCTTCCTTTCCCGCCCGGGCGAACCCGCCGACCTCGGGGCCGCCCAATGGCCGGGGAGCGTCCTTCGCGCCGAACGACCCTCGAGATCGGACGATTCGGGGGAACTCCTGAGCGAGAGCCTTCGACCGCGAGATCCCTTTTCGTCCGAGGAGGGGAGCGCGACTCCCCGAAAAAGACCCAAACGGTTTGCCGGTGGAAGCGCTCGTTTTATCCCTTTCGGTGGAATGGCGCGGGGGACACGACCGGGTGGGATGGGCGCCACGTCAACGGCTAATAAATGGAATTCAGGCGGGAGGGGGAATTATTCGGTTGTTTCGACCACGGCCTGTTCGACCGGAAGCGGGCCCACTCCGGGCTATGGAAAAAAAAATAATCCCAGCAATCGTGCGGTCGTTTCGCAGCCGGCGACGATGTGCCGAATCGATTTCGGGAATTTCGCTCCACAGAGAGAGCCGCTCGTTTCGGAGGAACGTTTCCCGTCACTGAATTTCCACGATTTAATCGAGTAGCTCGAGGTGGGGCTCGCCCGCCGGAGTTGACGGTAATCAGACGGATTTTCGCGATTTGGTCGGTCACCCGATGTCGCGCGACGCGGAGATTAGGTTTATTCCAGGCTCGGTGAAGCGCGAATTGTGACCGAAATCCGATTTCTCTGTTACAGATTACGGAGACGTACGCGTTTCTACCCCGCGAGGCGGTGACGAGGTTTCTCCTGGGGTGCACGGAGTGCCAGCGTCGACCACGGACGCCGAGCCCGACGAATCTGTCGAACCAGTCGCAGGCGACGACGGCGTCTTCCTCGTCGACGCCGCTGAGTCCGCTCCCGGCGACGGCGCTCTCGGCGTCGACCGGGGCGGTCCAAAGCAGTCCGCGGCCCCGGGAAGCGAGCCATCCCCCGGAGAGCAAGAGCCTCTTCAGCTACCGACACCCAAAGCACCAGAAGCAGACCGTCCCCACTGCGGCCATGACGGCGACGACGGCCCCGGCGACGCCCGCCCCGGCGCCCCTGGCGGCGGCGTCGCCGGTTGCCGCGGCGCCGACGGAGCGGGAGGAGAAGTACAACCCCCTGAGCATCAGCAACCTCCTCAAGAAGGAGCCCACCGGCAGCGGCTTCGGCGCGAGCCCCGACGCCCTCCCAGACTCCCGGAGGACTCCAGAGTCCGACAGGGCGAGCTCCAGGAGTTCGGCCTCCTCTAAGCGGAGGCGAATGCTTCCCGAGGGCCGGACGCCGTCGCCGCAGCCAACGCATCCCCTCCCCAGGCCCTGGAGTCCGGGGCTGGACCCCAAGAACACTCCCGTGGACTACAGTCTTCCCATCACCACCTCGTACCTAAAGCACCAGCAGCGGATCCTCGCGGAGAAGAGCAAGGCGGCCTCCATCGCCGCCGCCGCCCCCGAAGAGGAGCACCGAGACCCCGATCAGACCCCCGGCCTCCAGGAGGCGGAGGCGCCCGACATGGGCAGGTTCTCGCCCGCGGCGGGCCTGATCGATACCAACCTCAACCTCTTGGCGACCATTCAGCACCTCCACTGCCAAGTTATGCTCGCCCTGACCGAGAGGCTGCGCGCCTCCGTGCCGGGGAACGCGCTCTCCCTGCCCGCGGACGTCGCCGCCGTGACCGCGGAATTGTCCGTCTCGGCGCGGAACGATTCCTGAGCGGCGCGCGGCGGGGGCGAGGGGCCCTAAATTATTCGAAACCCGGCCGCGTCGGATTTTAGGCCGGCTAAAATTGTCTATCCGCGAGATGACGCTAATCCGGCCCCGGCGCTCGGCCGGACCCGTGGAATTGTTCATGTCTAAGCGGGACGGTTCCCGGGCATCCGGGGAGCTCTAAATTATTCGCGGTTTGAACCCGCTGGATCCCAGTCCGCCGAGAGTTTTCCCATCCGCGAAATGATCCCCGATCGGGGTCGTCTGAGCTGCGGTGCGGCCCGATCCGGGAAATCCCTCGGAAATTTCGACGCCGCTCCCGGTGCCGGGGACGGAACTCTCGCGGAGACGGATCCGAGTGGAACCCTTTTCCACCTAGAATGCTTCAAAAGCGGCTACGGTTCTGCACCCTTACGGTATTCTTGTATTGCGTCGATGTCGTTAGCGGTAAACGGACTGCGGTATTTTCTTAGCTACACAGACAATATCGTCTCTCTTTCTCTCCGTGTCGTTAATTGTACTCCGGAGTTGTTCGACGGCGCACAGGAAAAGGAACGGTACGGGAGGATCCCGCGCGAGCTCCTCTCGGTTTTCGCGGGCACAAAAGTTCGATACGAGGGACCTACGAGCCCGAAGGGGCGCTCGCAAAAAGACGCACCCGGCCGCCAGCCCTTTCGGGAGGAGAGCCGTGGCGGAGGAAGCGACCGAGCTTCTCTCGCCCTCCGCGAGCCACCCCCCCGTTTAATTACCTCCCAATTATCGCCACGCTCCACGCAACGGTTTTTCCGCCCCCTGGGAAACGGAGACGCGGCTTTGTTTCCTCCCGGGTCGCCCGGTTTTCGGGGGTGAGCTCTGTTCCGGTCGCACCCCCACCGGTCCGAGCAGGCCGGCCTCGGCGAAAGAAAATCTGCATTTTCCCCGCTCCCTCGTTTCGGTCGTTTTCAACCGTTTCCTCCGTTTCCTCCGGTTTCCCGGCCCTCACCCCCGACCCCCGAGCCGGGGGTCGACAAAGGCGCCGGTCGATAGTCGCGAAGTTTGCTCGGCGACCGGTCGAAAACCGCCCTCCCGCTCGAGGCCAGGGAATGGCCGCTCCTTACGTTTTTACCGGCTCGCTCCCATTCGAGTTTTCCCCAGCGATCAGGGTAATTGGCTCGCGGGCAATTACGCGCAATTAGCCTCGCGCTAACGCGCGCTACCGGGCCGGGCTGTGACATTTCGCAAGTCGATCGAGTCGGCCCGACTCGCGGCGAAGGCCGGGCATGGACCGCCCGCCCGGGCGGTCGTAATCACCCAAAGTAGCCGTTCCCCTACGATAACTTAGTCACTAATTTGCGGAAAGTAAGCCGGGACGAGGAGCGTGGAGTAGTACAATAGGATGATAGGCCTTAAGGTGTGCTTACGCGAGATGTCCGCTAGAGGTTCGATATAAACTATTGTCGTTAAAATTAAGAGAGATTATATATATACACACACACACTCGAAAAAACTTACACCCAAGACACCTAAAAGGAAATAGCGTAGACTAAGCCTTTGACCCATGAAACGTGAGCGTGCCGCCGTAGACGTAGGGTGATTTCTTTGTAAATAACCGTTGTAATATAGAAGGTAGACCTAAGGTCAACAATCTCGTACGTTATTATGTACTATTGATAATATTATTATATATATATATTATTCTATTAATATTATTATATGATCGTATTTAAATCTCTCAGCGAGTCAGATGGACGGAAAATATATATACGAGAATCCAAGGGCGAACTCTCGCAAATCTTAGACGAGCGTGTTGTGTTTATCCGACCCTCCCGAGATTCGACCTTCTCCTCTGTTTTTGTCCCGCTGGACGGGTGTCGCATCCCGTTCCGGTGAGCGTACCTCCGAGCACTCGCTCACCGCGACTACCGGCGAGGCACTCAAGGGTCTCAATTCCCGTCCGACCCTCGTGGCGCCATCATCTCCCCGATGACCGATTTGGAACGTCCCTCTGCCGCGGGCTGAAAGTCGTATAAATCAGGACCGAGGGGGCGAGAACCAAGGTAAGTGGTTTTATTATTTCCCTCTTTCTATCGGTGCAACGATTTCCTATCTCGAAGTTCGCGACGTCCGCGCAGGGGCGAACGTTCCCCTTGCCGTATAAAAACGAGCAGACATTTTCTTAATTATCATTAGCAACGGCGAAACCTATGTACTTCGCTCGGGATAAAATGAGCAAAAGTTGAACCGAGGTGTATGTTGAAGCCGAATGGAAGGGAAAGGGGAGGAAACGCATATACATGGAGGAAATCACTTGCCGGGGTTTATTTGTGCGTACTTTTGTTTGTCGCCGCGGTAGAACCTCCCTTCCAAAAAGTCTCACCGGGTATATTAGTCGGCAACGAATCGCACTTCCTGGCTCCGGTCCGTAACGAGTCTCGTACGTGTAAGGCAGCCTTTACCCATCTGGCTGTTGCCAACGCTGTAGCGGCCTCGTTCCATCAACTACCCCCTGCCAGGCACTTCCCTCTTTCTCTCTCCCTCTCTCCGTCTCGCTCTCGCCCTCGTGCCCAGCCCTTAGGAAAACTCACCCCCGTCCCCTCGATTCCAATAAGGCTGCCCCATTCCGCCATTTTCAACCCTCCGACGCCGCCACCGCCCCCGCCCCCGCCCNCTTCGACCCCCCTCGAACCCCCTCAACCCCCTGCCAGGCAGAGGCCTCGCTTTTGCCGCGGCATTGTTGCTATCGATTCGTCTCCTGTAAACGGCTTTTTCTCCGCTACACCTTGCGGCCCTTATTTCCGGAAACGGAACTCACCTACAACCTAAGAAACTCGAACATGCCCTTCCGATGTCATAGGACGAACCGCTCTTCCGATGTTTGCGCCTCCCTGCGAATCCTTTATCCTTTCGTGATAACCGCCCATTTCTACAGGGATGTTTCAATAAGCGGGTTAGAGAAGAAATTGGGTTTAATGGGCTTTTATCAAGCTCTAGAGAGAGTAAACAAACATTTGTACACTCGGTTAGGTACCAAGGCAGGAAATATCTACCTTGAAATCGAACAAGTGTTTGAAAACAAATAGATATAAATGGAGGCTCAATTCCTGAAACGGAATATCTTCGGTTGGTATTTTCGCTCTTTTTTCTCTTTTTTCTCTTTTTAGTCCAATATCGTAACCAGGTCAAATTTTAACGCAATCAATAAAAAACTAATACGTGGCGATGGAACGCTCGTCACCATTTTGAACACCTTCGATCGAAAGTGTTATATTTCTCGTTATGCCGTAAACTGAGTAAAAGAATTAATACGCCTTAAATACCGTACTTATACAATTTAAGTAATCAAGTTCAAGAATATATCTCGATTCGTTACAGATAAAAATTATCGTCCCGCTTATTTATTCCTCTCCTAACGCTTTCATTTGAAATTTCGCCGAAATCAGATTAGAACCTTTTAAAAAGTTGGGTACTCAAAAAGTCAGAATCCGACTCTAACGAGCCGAGTTTAATAAGGATACTCCAATTTTATATCTTAGTCCATTACCCCATTAGAGCATTTAGTTTATTTATTACAAGTAAATGTTCACGTCGTCTGATTAACCCGGCCAGAATTGTGTTAATGCATGCGCGTTCGGTTGCAGTCTGACGAACTCGTCTATATTTGTTTATCGGGGAAAATTTGTCCAACGATGATTAAAGCGTTGTACCGCTGAGTTAACAGTTACATACGCGCGTGGGTAAACGGTAATAAATTGACAGTACACGCCAAGATGAGGGTCACAGCCATCGACGATGAAAATATTTTAATTTACAAGTACAGTATCAAAGAATAAACATTGGAAATAAAATTCCGGAATTTTTCGAACCAACTTGTTCCTTGGATCTTTAGTGCTATTCTTTTTATTTTCTTTTTTTCATGTTTTTTTAGACTACGGTTCGATTAGAAACGTCAAATTGATCGTGGAAAAGTCGTGGCGTCTCGCGAGATAATTCCTGGTCGGAGGAGGGGGTTGTTTCGATATATCTCGTTTTTCAGCGGTCTCGATGGTCCGGTTAAAGTAGACCCCTTGCGGTGGCGAGTGACCATATTATCGTGGTTTAAGTGGCGCGGCCCCATTGAGCGGTGATTTAGAATTTTCCCCGGTCTGCCTCCGTGGCATTCAACTGAAATCTATTGTTCTTCGGGGAATACTCCGTGAAATCAGCCCCGACCACCCTTCGAGCCCGTCACACTCCCGGAAGAGAGGCCCGTGCCTATTAGACCCCGCCTCGCACGAGCCGATCGATCTGACGAACGTCGACGAGTTTGTCGCCGACAAAAACCGGAAGAGGGCCGAACACTGGATGGATGGATGGATGGATGGGTGCGGTTTACTATCCGCCGGCGTATCGGGACCCGCCGATCGCGTTGACGCGACCGAAGAAAGAAAGGAATACCGGGAAATTGGAAAATGGGAGAATGATCTCCCCGCGCCGCGGCCCGCGTCACAATTTCTGAGCAGACTTCATTTTACGCCCCAATTCATTCGACGTAGGCCAAGAGGGCACAGAGGAGGAGAGTCGAGGACGGTACCGAGGTAGGGGGCATCGAGGAGGTAGCGCTCGTTACCTCCTGGACCATGTTGATTAAACGATGGTCTAATTTCCATGTAACCCGGCAAATCGGTGCCGCCGGATCCCAAAGCGATGCCCGACAGGGCACCCTCGACTCGCCGCTCCGACAAAGAAAACTGCCAACTGCGGGGACAAAAGTCGCGGGAAAACAAACGTCGAGGACTCTCCGGATGGGAGCTCCCGTCAAGAGGAGGGAAACGGGAATAATATTGGCCGCCTTCCGGGCATCTAATTCGAAGGGGAAGCGCCTTCTCGAAACCCGGCTCGATCGAGTTCCGCGCAGCGCAGCCCGGCACCAAGGTGAAGTCTCTTACTTTCCCAGGGCCCCCCACCTATCCTGCGTCATCGTCCGGGGGTGAGCACCCCCCTGGATGGCAGCGGCCCCAGAATGTAAGGGATGATTTTGGAGATAGCTC